AGCTGCAGATGTATAGACCTTATATTTCGTTCTTGTAAAAGACGTAAAATTAGTTGAGTTTCTCTTATTTTTAATAAGTTTAATTTTTTTATATCTTTAGAAAATCTGTGTATCTATGTTGTGTACCCGCGCTATCCGAAAATATATTTCTCATAGATGGCTCTGCGTGGCCCAAAAGACCTTCATCTACCTCTGATCTTACGCCGGCCCTGTTTTTTTTCTTACCGATTTTGTCCTTGAATCTACCGAATTTCAACTATCTATTAGTTTCTTTTTTTTTGTTTAACAACATTTTCGATTTTCTCCGTGATTATTTGCATTAAAAAGCAAAATCGGTTGTACAAATAAATATCACTAAGGGAGTTTAGTAGAACAAAAATACAATTTGCTATTACAATGATTGACCTCAATTATTATTATTATTATTATTAAAAAAATCAAGTAGAACAATGAAAAAATCAAGTCGAGTCAAGCATTATTGTTTCAATCAAATTTTATGATAACATAAAGCTACTCACTCACGTCTGAAGGTTTTTTGTGTCTGGCAGGATATTTATGATCTGTCTGCCTAAGCAAGTATGGTTTTAAAATATTCCCCTAAATAACATGAATAAAAATCAGGAATGAGTATGTAAGTAAAGTTATTATGTTTTCAGGTGTCAGGTATCTGGCGGATGTAGGGAGTGATGGGTACTACTTTGTAATAATGTCTTATAAAATATCTATAAAAATAAACTAAAAGCGTTTGAGTAAAGTTAATCTCATTTTTACTTACCTTTCTTGGCTGGTATCTGTGAATCGTTCTACTGCCAAATTAGTAGATATGCAGCCGTTGAAAGTACATACGAGTATAAACGCTACTGAATGCACCAAGTTATGTATTTGAGGAAACAAGTAATGTCTGGCAATTGTTCACAAGGGTTAGAAAAAACCATCTTGTGTGAAGAAATGAAATGGATTTGACAGGCGCTGGCAATAAACGAAGATTGGTTTCATCAAGTCTATAGTTTTCCATTTCTAATGCAACAATCAAATTATCTTACAACATTCTAAGCTGTATAACACTGGCACTCCCACGGGGGGGATTAAAGCGGGTAACCCCCCCCTCCCAGACGACTCCAGTAGTTTTTGAAAAGGTGATATAAAGTAAACGTCTTATAAAAAAATCGGTAACTTTAACACTGCCAACCCGCTCAGTGCGCATGCGACTAGCGACTACTCTCCCACCAACAGCAACGGTGTGCGCTTCTTCCTGTTGGAACAGGTATAGTCTAGTCTTTTATGGTCTAGTCTAGTGTCTAAATTCTGTACCAGTCCGGAGTCCGCAACAAAATTTGTCTGAGAAGGGAACAAGCGGAGTTTTGTTGATCTGGTTGGTATTAAGGCTATTTTCTATGTTCTGTTGATTTTTTATTTTCCACGCATAAGCCAGAAAATTAATTTTTGTTTGTTTTTAATTTTTATATTATGAAAAAATCGTGTCTTGAAAAATGACAGACGGAACAATGAAAATTTAATATAATTTCAATTACGAAGTGTTTGGTCCATACTATCATTACCATCTATGTCTATTTTGTCTCGGAAGTTCCTGTATATAAGCACTTCAATGCATTTCGTTCGTCCAAGATGGCAAATTATAAGTATATTTATGAAAATTGCGTGAACTTAAGAAATGTTGTTTTCGAAACAGAAAAGATTCTTTGTTATAAGATACGTGAATGCGTGGAAACCAATAATGTCGTTTATTTGACAATATTTGTGTAACTGTTAGTGCTGGTTGACGGCTGCTGTTGTCAGGGTGAGTAAAAAGAAACAGAATACCATCGATTTCTAAACAAAACAAGCTATCTAATCCACCGGAAGAGACTGATGATAATCCTACAATTCAACCTGAGCCTTCCAAAAAATGTCTTTTTGTTGTACCGTATGCTGAACCAAGTGTTGAACAATCGGGTGCTAAACCTCAAGGATCCAATTTTGTTGATGTTGCGCCATATGTAAATTTCAGCGGCAACTTGTCTTCCCATGAAAAATATACCTTATTGAGGTGTGCAATGATCTCAAATCATTCTTTCAAATACCCCTATTCCACACACTTGAAAAATAATAAAGAAGTGAAATGTTACTTATCAAAAAAACACTTTGAGAAATTTCCTTAGCTGTCATATTCAGATTAACTACAAGGGCGTTTCTGTAAATATTGCGTGGTTTTTGCAAAATTAGGAGGAGTACATAAATCAACTACATTTGGAAAACTTGTTAGCGCACCACTAAAGAAATTTTCAAAATTGTATGACAAAATCGGTGATTGTGAGACACATGAGAACTCAATATATCATGCAGAAGCAGTTTCAGATGCTACAAACTTTTTAAAGCTTTACGAAAATCCAGAGAATGATATAAGAAATATAATAGGAGCGAATTAAGCAAGTATCAGAAAATCGGCACAGATTGACTCCTATAATAGAATCTATAATTTTTTTAGGATGCCAAAATATACCACTTAGAGGGCATAGAGACAGGGGATGACTTCTTTCTAATGACAGCACGAATGATGAGGATGTCCTTAATAATGAAGGGAATTTTAGAGAGATAATACGGTTTAAAGTCGAAAGCGGCGACAATTTATTGAAAAAAAAAACTTAGAGAAAAGCGCATACTACGTACATAAGCAGCCGCATCCAAAATGGAATTATAGAATGTTGTGGCGAAGAAATCTTGGATATAGTTTTAAGTCGCGTCAGGTAAAGTCAGTATTACAGTATTATATTTGACGAAACTACAGACATTAGCCGTAAATCACAAATGTCAATCGTATTGCGGTATTGTTATCAAAAACATATTTACGAGACTTCATGGGATTTGCTACTCAAATTTTGATGAAGATACAATGGAGCCCAAACTCACAGGTCAAGTTCTTGCTCAAACAGTCAAGCATTTCATCAGATCCAATAACTTAGACTCAAAACTATGTGTGGGAATTTGTACTGATTCGTGTAACCTAATGTTAGATGAACAAAAGGGCGCTGTAATGGAATTGCAAAAATGTTTGCCAAATGCTCTAAAAAGCCCATGCGCAAATCATGCCTTGAATCTTGCGATTTCAAAAAGCAGCAGTGTCCAAGCAGTAAGAAATACCTTAGGTATAATGCAGGAAGTAATTGCGTTCTTCAAAACATCCGCTAAAAGAAATACAGTATTAAAAAGAAAACTAGACGGATATCAAATTCATAGTATGTGCAAAACACGATGGACCGAGAGACATGATTGTGTGCTCCAAATTGAAAGCAAATTCGAGAAAATTGTAGAGGTACTAAATATTATATCAAATTGGAAATAGCGCGAAGCTTCTTCAAAAGCGGAGTCTTTGACGACTGCCATTACTTCCACCCAATTTATCGTATCACTAAAGTGTTTGTGTGATATATTATCTTTAACAGTCAACCTGAGCAAGATTTTACAATCAAAAACAATTGACAAACAAGACGCTGTCAAACTCATAGGAAATATTATTTCGATGTACAAGAAAGACGCGCAAATTCCGAAAAACATTTTAGAATACTATTCGCATCTATAATGAAATCACATGAAACCCTGTGTATTGAACTGACTGTGCCAAGAATAACAAGCAGGCAAATGAACAGACCGAACATAGTTACGTCTGACAAGGAAAATCATTACAAACTGAAATTATATGTCCCTTTGCTAGATAATATATTACAGGATTTGGTATACCGGTTCAATGAAGAATCTTTGAATATACAATTTTAATATTTCTTTGCGTCAGTATTTAATTCAAAAACTGAGGCTGAAGTAATGGACATATTAGAAACAATCTCTAAATATTTGCATGGATTAAATAGTAACGAAAACAAAAATTTAATAAGTACCAGATTAAAAGCAGAATTTGACCTTTGGAATTCACGTACACAAGATATTATAGACAGTGGAATATCACTGTATTTATCATGTGATTAAAAATTTTTTCCTTCAATAAATAGATGCCTACAATTAGTGATATCATTGCCGGTAAGTGTGGCGACATCTGAAAGAAGTTTCTCCCATCTAAAGAGGATAAAAGCTTGGCTGCGCTCCACTATGTTACAAGAGCGATTAGTGGGTTTAGCTCTTTTGTATATGCATAGGGATATTAAAATAGACGTGAATACAATCATAGATCGGTTCGCCAGCAAAAAGAATAGGTCGCTTGATTTTCTAATATGATAATATGATAACACCTGAACTTTGCCTAAGGTTGTCTCTCAAATCGATCTCCCTCCGTTGGCCAATAAATAAAAAAGCAGATGTAGTTAAGGGTTTACTTACTATAGTTTAACCACCACGGTGATCTTTTCCAAAGTATCCAATCAAGTTATGTGGTTTTGTCTATTGGCCAGCAGATTGATATAAAAGTCTGTTCAAATTCTGTTCAAATCACTTTCTAAGCTAATGTAATGATTGTTTTATTTTGAGTCTGTGAACTGATGTAGAGTTTCATACTTTATATGTGTTTGTTTTTTGAGACTATCTAAGAGAATGTAGTTATGCAATGAATGTTTTTTTGTGTTTTTCTCATGATTAATAATTTTATTTTGATTTACATTCAGTTTTATACTTTATAGAAGTCGTAACATATTTGTTATTGTTATTTTTTTCATGAAGATGTATTTTTTGTTGTCTTGTCTGACATTGTTATGTAGAAAAGTCTGTGATAGATTATATTATTTTGCATTTTTCTTTTAATATATGAAGACTGTTCGAGCTTGGTTTGCTTTATTTACACTTTGATTTCGTATGATTCAAATTAAAAAAAAATTGTATGTATTTTCTATAAAAATTACTGTAACAAATTCATATGTCCATGCTTTTAATGTTAAATCATTCAGTACGTCACACTGAGAATTTACTTTCAATTTTACCCCTCCCAGACTGAAATCCTGGGAGCGCCACTGCTATATAATATACAACAGCATATCAAAAAATGTTTCTATTCATAGACTGCCACACTCGTAAATCAGACAAACATAATTGACGAATTCTAAAATATGATAGCATGGATTTTTTCAATCATCTGATTTCATTTCAAACGGTTGCAATGAAAGCATCAATGATATTCGGCTTAGTGATCTCCTTCCTCCTTCTTTTTGTAGAGTCCAAATGTGGTGAAATCTATTTTACTAATTGTGGTAAGATATTTAAGTATTGTTATAACCATGGGCGTTCATTAGGGAGGACAAAGGAGACCTCCTTGGCTGCCGCTTGAGGAGTAAAACTATATAACCTAACCTGTCCCCCCTGTGAATTTGCTATAAGCGCCCATGGTTATAATCTAAGCAGGGTTTAAATTAACGACAAAAATAGTAGAAACGCGGGAACACTTTGTCCACTGAAGCCTATGCAGAAGTGATACATTCTTCCTTTATGACGAAACGCTGTTATGCGCTTCCATAGCGAACGACCGAGGAGTTTAACGAGTATGCCGCTTTTGAGTATCTCACACTTCGAACAGTCAGGACCGATAGAGGGAATATATCGAGCTTTCTTACCTGAGAATGGCCCTGTACTGAAAAACATAGGATATGATCTATAAAGATTAATAATATTTGGTGTAGCGAGAGATTTGTGCAATCTGTACAGGAAAGGAGAAAGAATAGGACATATGAAATAACATTGTCTTTAGTTTTTCATGAACATGTTTTGCGGTACACACAGTTCAATTATTTGTTTTCAGCTCATGATGATTCAATATTTAAAATCGAGAATATCGGAAGTCCTAATTGTCCACATCCACACGAATGTGCAATCGAACAAAACGTGACAATGAAGATTACCATCAGAGGAAAGAATAAACGTAAGAAATCTATACAAACTTAGGATATTTTATGAAAAATAATAACAAATTAAGGGATCAAATTAAAATCAGTAAAACACGGTCGTTTTGGAGTTCTAAGAGAAGCATTCCAAAGCTTCAAGGGCCAAGTTTCTGGATCTTCTGGTGAACAAATTTTGCCCTAGTCCTAGTGCGAAAAAAATTAGTTTTTTTTCATCAGAGTGAATTTTTACAGGGCTATTGTGGGTATATCGAGCTGTAAAAGTTACGCTCAATATCAACCATTTTGTCAATATTTGCAATTTAGCCCTTGGTTTTCTAAAAAAAAACACGATTTTTCATTAAAAGCCCGATCTTTCAGGAAGATTTGCTACATTCGTGCATGTAATGGCTTAGCGAAACGAGGTTTTTTTCAAGCCCGTTAACCTCAATAAAATTATTAAAAGGCGATTTTTTTATTCACAATGTTTTCTACGAGTTCTGTATCTATTTTTCAGCTAATAGATCCAAAAACTCGACATTTGAACTATTAAAATTCTTCTCTTAGAATTTCCATAGGACCATTTTTTACCACTACTTTTACAGCACTTTAAGGAATCGCTAAAAAATTACAATTTTTTTTTTCAGTCAACACAAGCAAAGTGCCAAATATGAAAATGAGTGCATGTATCCAGCAATATGGATTCAATTGGGCTTCAAAAATGGAGCCTCTGGATCCTTGTTCACAATGGAAATGTAATGAAAAAGATTATAAAACTAGATCTTACACGGGCTACATTACGATTACTATTGACGCACTAAGGGTTAGTAGCTAATAATTACTGCCTCTCTATATAACGACTTGATATGTGTTTCCCCAAGTGAGTGAAAATTGAAGGCCTCATTTTCGAGCCTTTCAGTATATTTAGATATTTCAAGAAAATGCCCGATGTAGGAATTTGATCGACATGTCAGAACTTATTTTAGTCCAGAAATGTGTACAGCCTCATCAGGTTCCAGAATCGTTTCGATTCGGTACAATTGGTTCTTCCGATTTCAAGCCGTATTGCGATTGGCTATTGGTACAGTATCCTAATCCTAATTGAAACAGCTAAAACACAGCTGTCATTAAGAGAGCCCTCCCTGGCCGCAAGGGCATTACGTAACTTGAAAAGTGACATTATGTAGGTTTTTTTTTGTCATTATGTAGGATTTGTGTGCCTATAATCTGTAATCGTTCCATTGGTTTCTTATCTCAAATATTTGAGATGAATGCAAAGCTAGAAATTAGTGGCGCATCCACTTTATTAACATGCTTTTGTTAACACGCATTTATAAGCTTGGCCTGTAATAATTTTTTGATTAAAATTCAGCTGCATTATCGTCCTTGAACTACGTGGATAATCCTAAGTTCTATGGATAATCGTAAGATCTCAAGACCGTCATAATTAAGTGAATACTAAATATAGGTATTTATCATAATGATAAGATTGATTGAATAGTTACACTCTCGCAAAATATAATAGAGGGGAAATAAAAAATTCATAGTAAGTACACAATATGATGATTAATACAAATACATATGAGACATGCAAAGCTCTCTATTCTGGAACGATTTTTGACGTTAATATATTTGTAATTATATACTCATGAATAATTGGCCACTTCACTCGTTCTATCCAGTTTTATAACAAGTATTATAAATACAGAGGGTTTCTAAAATATTTCGTAAAACTTTAAACATCAATTTTCGACTATTTGATTTTTTTATGACTTTTAAGAAAATCGTTTTGCTTTCAATATAAGGGACGACCAACTTTTTCATGAAATCTATTTCTTATTAGTATAACTAAACTTAAAGCTACTTAATCTGCAAAAACTGTTCAAGAAACTAGGTGAAGGCTAGAGGTAAATACTAAAATCTCCTCATCGTCGATGGCCTTAATGAGTTACATCTCGCAACGGTATGGTTGTTCGTATGTTTTTGATACAGACATATGGAGATTGTTAGGGAGGTCTAGGAGAACATCACGAAAGGGTCGATGACACGGAGCTAGCTTAGTTGCCCCTAGTGCGCTTTTTTACTAAATGGCAAGTGAAAGAGTTGGTGTGTAAAAAAGCATGCATGATTACACGTGGCTAGTTAACAAGCTTGCAATGCTTTGGTCCACGCACTTGTTTCTTGTTTCTCGAAACGTCAGTATGAATTGGAATGTAAATAATAATAAGTTTTTGGAAATCTATGAAAACTAACCCATATTATGGAATATAAAACAACAAAAGAATTATATGGATGCAAAATTGATGGATTCTGTGTTCAACAAGTTATGGGACGAATTAAACGCCGAGGTCTAGTGGAAAATATGACAGCAGAGCAAGTGGAAGCAAAAATAAAAAGTATTAAAGATGCCCACCGCCAAAAATTGGCCAAAATTGAAAAGTCAAAAAGAGCGGTATGGGAACTGATGAAATCTACTCCGTCTAGTTTGGTTTGGTAAAGCTTCTAAAGTGTAGCTAGTTATCTCGCCGATATAATTATACGATGCTTTTTTACTATCTCGATAGTAAATAAGTCAGCCAGTAGCTAGTAAAGCTGACCGGTCTTCAACTGTACCCGTCAACATATGGGCCAGTTAGTTTACTTGCAGCAGAGGCGGATTTATGGGGGGGGCGGGGGGTGCGCGCCTTCCCCTAGACGATTGACACCTGATTTTGTAATCTAACACCATTGTGTTGCTTTCTGACACATCATGGCCACAGAGGTATACTAACTATAAATTATAGCTTTAGGAACTGAGCATTGCAATTTTTGGTATCCTTTGGTATTCCAAACGCTGTCCCTCTTCGACATCTCTTACATTTACAGCACAGTTCTTACGATTTATACGTATATACGAGTATTGTGACTTGTGACAAATCTAAGTCTAAGCAATATATTAGCTATACAGATTGCACTAAAAAAGTGATTTATGTTCTGTCTGTTGCTCAATAGTAATTTAAAAAGTGTGTAAAGTTTGACTGATTTTGTTCGGGGTTGATGTTGCAGCGAAGCACTATTAGTCTAATCATATTAGACGAAGATACCCCTGGTTTGCGAATAATTCTACAGTCTAGTTTTATTGCTGCAAGTTACTCAAGGGGGTACTCAAAACATGGACGCATAAAATGGGTACATCAATTTTTGTAGGAAAACTTTTTATTCGACAACAAAGAATAAGAAAACGTGTTTTTTGGGATTCAAACTAAATAATTGGCAGGCTGGAAAAAACTCTCCTCATAAGATTTTTAAGTATTTATGAGACCTACAAAATGAGACCACATGTAAAAAGATCCGACTAACAGCAAAAAAGTTATCGCCGAAAACCGAGGCAAACTGCAGGTCTTGGCACGTGTTGGTAATGCGACGACGGTTTCTCGCAGATATTTGAAATTCCTCAAATTTGTAGGATTGGTACTTCTCAATAACCACAACAAAATTAGAGTAGATTGGTCTAGTAGTTTGGGAGAATTTCTAATTGTTTATCCCAAGACATCTGTTTTCCGGCCATCACTACTAGTTTTTTTGAGCAATATACATAGGTTAGTTCACAGGGCATTTTATAGCAAAATACACTAGGCTTGCCTTGCCGATATGAATCGAAAACTATTCCGGAAGATAAATGTTATTTTTAAGCAAAAATGATAGGTTACGTTTTTCTTCAAACATTTCGTATTTGTGAGTAACTCACAACAAAAGATGATAAACACATCCGCTTTATTTTAAAATGTGTATAGTAACGTATTTTGAATATCGTAGCGCATTTGCTCAATTACTCACAAATACGAAATGTTTGAATTTGCTTTAAAGAAAAAAACGTAACCTTTGTTTTTCGCATGAAAATAACATTTATCTTTCGGAATGGTTTGTAATTCATATCGGCAAGGTAAATTAGTGTATTTTGCTGTAAAATGCTCTTTGAACTAATCCTGTATATACAGGGTGGCCAAACACGTGACGTCATAAAAAAAAAATTAGATTCCCCACATCGAGAGGAACCCAAATCACCCCCATATATATGGTCCGATTTTGTTTAGTTTAGGAGTTATGATTTTTTTTCGGATTTTTCGAGAATTTTTGAGTTCTGTGTTTATTTTTACCATAACTTCGTTAATAATTGTGATAAATGCCTGCTTTTTTCACGATTATGTAGCTAAGACCTAAGGCTTAACTATCATATAATCATTCAAGTCATGTAACTAATACTACTTTTTAATTTTTTTCAAAATCTTCGAACATAACAAAAAAGTAAAAAAGTGCAACAACTTTGAACGTTTATAAAAAATTGAAAAAACATGTTCTTACTATTCGTAAGTATCTTAAAAACTTCCTTACGGTATCAGCTATTTACCGTAAAAATTTAATCAACCTAGCTTTACTACATGCTACCGTAATTGTGGCTCAAATAGAACCGAACCCAAAATTGGATAACCCTCTGCTCAATAGAAATTGTTAGTTTCGGAAAAAAAATTTGCAAAAACCACAAAAACACGTTTGATTTTTACTGAACAGCAGATTATTATTCATTTATGTTATTTACAAGAGGTTTTCAAAATGTCTGCATCTAACAGAAATGCACAGTGTACACCTACGTATGAAATTTTGTTTTAAATCTCTAAATGCTTGTGTGTTGTTTTTCAACACATGTGTCGCTTCTTGAATTTTGTTCCTCAATGAATTTTCATTTGCACATTCTTGGGCGAATGTTATGTCTTTAAAATATCCCCAAACAAAAAAATCAATGGGGTTGAGGTCAGGGGAGCGTGGAGGCCATCGTATCGGTCCGTTTCGTCCGATCCATCTGTCTGGGAACCTTTCGTTTAAGTAGTTTCGCACGATCGTTGCGTTGTGGCATGGTGCACCATCATTCTGGAACACCATGTTCCGTCTGGCTTCCATGTGGTCAGGAATATTCAATATGGAATTTATCGGTCCATTTGAACTGCCGTCAAGGTTGGATTCGGTAGCCTACAAAAGCTTCCTTGAAAATAGCCTACCATTATTGCTGAAAGATTCAAGCCTGGAAGCCAGACGGAACATGGTGTTCCAGAATGATGGTGCACCATGCCACAACGCAACGATCGTGCGAAACTACTTAAACGAAAGGTTCCCAGACAGATGGATCGGACGAAACGGACCGATACGATGGCCTCCACGCTCCCCTGACCTCAACCCCATTGATTTTTTTGTTTGGGGATATTTTAAAGACATAACATTCGCCCAAGAATGTGCAAATGAAAATTCATTGAGGAACAAAATTCAAGAAGCGACACATGTGTTGAAAAACAACACACAAGCATTTAGAGATTTAAAACAAAATTTCATACGTAGGTGTACACTGTGCATTTCTGTTAGAGGCAGACATTTTGAAAACGTCTTGTAAATAACATAAATGAATAATAATCTGCTGTTCAGTAAAAATCAAACGTGTTTTTGTGGTTTTTGCAATTTTTTTTTCCGAAACTAACAATTTCTATTGAGCAGAGGGTTATCCAATTTTGGGTTCGGTTCTATTTGAGCCACAATTACGGTAGCATGTAGTAAAGCTAGGTTGATGAAATTTTTACGGTAAATAGCTGATACCGTAAGGAAGTTTTTAAGATACTTACGAATAGTAAGAACATGTTTTTTCAATTTTTTATAAACGTTCAAAGTTGTTGCACTTTTTTACTTTTTTGTTATGTTCGAAGATTTTGAAAAAAATTAAAAAGTAGTATTAGTTACATGACTTGAATGATTATATGATAGTTAAGCCTTAGGTCTTAGCTACATAATCGTGAAAAAAGCAGGCATTTATCACAATTATTAACGAAGTTATGGTAAAAATAAACACAGAACTCAAAAATTCTCGAAAAATCCGAAAAAAAATCATAACTCCTAAACTAAACAAAATCGGACCATATATATGGGGGTGATTTGGGTTCCTCTCGATGTGGGGAATCTAATTTTTTTTTTATGACGTCACGTGTTTGGCCACCCTGTATATATAGCTCAATAAACTAGTAGTAATGTCCGGAAAACAGGTGTTTTGGGATAAACAATTAGAAAATGTCAAAAAACTACTTGATCTTTATACTCCAATTTTGCTGTTGTTATTCAGAAATATGAATCCTGCGGATTTGAAAAATTTCAAGTATTTGCGTAAAATTATCGTCACATTACCAACAAGTGCCAAATCCTGCATTTTGCCTGGTTTTTCGGCCATAACATTTTTGTTATTAGTCGGATCTTTTCACGTGTGGTCTAATTCTGTAGGTCTCATAATAACCTAAAAATTTTACATAAAAGGTTTTTTCATTCCTGTCAACACTTTGGATCAAATCCGAAAAACAAGTTTTCTCATTCTTTGTTGTCAAATAAAAAATTTTCCCACAAAAATTGGCGTAACCACTGTATGCGTCCGAGTTTAAAATGAACAACTTGCACCAATAAAACCGGACTTTGCAACTATTTCGGCAAAATTTGCTAATATGATTAGACTATATGTTAGATGAACACCTACATTGGAAATATACATTTATGAGATTTGCTTAGCGGTGCGCCTGTAGCCTGTCCAGAAAATGCGTCGATCGATGCTCAAAGTCAATACCACACGTCCCGCATTTCTTCCCGCGTATGTTTCTTTTTATGTTGCTATATTGGAATTCGTTAAGTCACACAGTTTTGTACAAACATACATTATCAAAATAATTACGATCTAACATATATAGTTTTTTCCATAGATTTCCAACTTTTTTACATGCGATCAACACCGATTCGAAAACTGAGAAAGCAACAACTATGCCGTAAATCTAAGTTCGACAACGAAAGTCTGAAGAATAACTGTAACATCTATATTGAATTTCAAAAAATAATTGACTATACCTACTGATATTTTTATCTCCTGCTGATATAATAGAAGTGCTTGATTGTGTCAGTATTTACACCAACTTGATTTGTTTAACGGGTAGTTCAGAGTATTAATCCTTAGGCTTAGTACACACTAGTAGACCCTGTTACGCAATTTGTCTATAGGCAGACTGGAGACGGTCTCAAGACAGACAGACAGAGCAATGAAGTTTATGTTTTAATCTTTAATATTATTACACTAGTTAATTATAAATGCCACGTAATTCTTTTGTTCTCATATAGTAAAATATTGCCTTTCTGACTTTCTCTGAACACTTTCCATATTTTGTTTTCAAGTTGGCATTGAACAGATAGAACATGGATATAAGGAGCAATAATAGGATGCATTCTAGAAGTTCCACTGAGGTAGAAAAATTAAGAGCCCCAAAGATCGTTTGCGCCCCTCCCCCCCCCCCCCCCTAGACGAAATTATGGATCCGCCCTTGGCTAGCAGCTAGTCAAAAAGCGCACTAGCGGCGAGTGAACTAGCTCCGTGTCATAGAGCCCTTATGATGGGGCTGTCCAGTATTGTTGGAATCGGATAACTGCTGCATATATTAAAAATAATTGGTGTATGAATTTTTTCGGAACTTTTGTTCAACCTATTTCATCATAACGAATCGAATAGAATAGAATAGAATACAGTAGGTAGTCCAGAGAATTCATACTGGAATTGTTGGTCCATATTTCACTAACTTGTGCCTTGGGTATTGGGAAGTGACAAGACGGTCCATTTTTTCACTTCTCACGCCAGTTGGCGAAGAAGTATTATTAGTAGTACGTTATATTTTCAAAAATGGAATATGTTTTTAATTATTATATGGTCATGCATGTACATTGTACATCTCGAGAAACAGTATCACTCATTTCCGTCGGTATGTCTGTTTGTCGGTTTGTTTGTCTATCGGTCTGCCTGTCCCTTGATCCTTGGCCCCTCTATAACTTGCAAACTGTTCCTCGGATTTTGATGTGGTTGCGGAGTTACGGGCAGAAACCGAAAAAGTAAAAATCTCCTGCTCGTTTTCAGAAAAGTTTTTGTATTGATTGAACATTGGAGGTTGAAGGATGGGGAGGATACATCTCATTTTTTTGATGTTAGTTTATTTATACGCTTCCAACCCTAGTAGCTGTACGGGGTGGGGGGTTGATATCAGTGAAAGTTCAAATCACGCCAATTGGTTAGGTTAGTAGCTTACACGGCTCCCTGTTTGACCGCCCGACGGCATCAGTAAATTGACTCACCTTGGCAGCAAAGGTGCACGCATACCCCCGCGCAGACCAGAGGCGTGCGGCGTATATTTTACCACGGGTTGACAAACTTCCTAATACTTGGAATTAGGAATATTTGAATTATTTTTTTTTTGCTTTTTCTACAACAAGAAAATTTTATCTACGCAGACTACTGATAAGGTATCAGCGAAAAACGTTGTACTATTAAGAAATCTGTTATTCCAGCAATTATATACTCAGTGACATTAGAAGTGTTACACCCAGAAAAAATGATTCCTTTAACTTGATTTTTTTTTAAATGAGGTAGCCTTACATCAAGAATGAAACGATAACATTCTCACGAAATTTTATTAACAAGTAATAAGAAAAAAATAATTGAGAAGTTCAGAAGAAAAAAATTCGTGAGAGTGTAGCCGAAAGTCCAGGGACGTCGATTCGTCATCGCGCTCAAGAATTGGACATTAAAACAGCCACTCTCCAGGGTACTCAAAAGAAAAATTTACACCTGCATGCCTACAAAGTCTAATTGACTCAACAGCTTATGCCAACAGACCATGCGCAGCGAAGATAGTTCAGCAATTGGATCCCTAGCCAACAGGATGTGAATGCTGATTTTGTAGGAAAAGTCAATTTTAGCGATGCGGCCCTTTTTCATCTGGATGGCTTCGTCAATAGGCAAAACAGCCGCACTTGGGGCACAGAGGATCCAAGAGTAATTGAAGAGAAAGCTATGCATCTAAAAGGTGTCACTGTTTGGTGTGAGCATGAGGCAGGTAATCCACTAACAGTGAATGGTGAACGTTATCGCGCAATGATTACCCAGTCTTATGTGCCACAATTAGAAACCATGGCTGTTAATGACATATGGTTTCAGCAGGATGGTGCCACATGCCATACTGCTCGTGAAAAATTGGCAGTTTGCTCCTGGTCGAGTCACCTTCCGGTTTAATGACCAGAATTGGCCGCCACGCTCTTGTGACTTAACACCTTTGATCTTTTAGCTTTGGGGTTATCTGAAGTCGTTTGTTACGAAATACCATGTTTTATAGAACCTTGAAATATTGCGTCCTTATTGAAACACCCTTTACCACAGTTCATATGGAGTTAGGTGTGGAAACAAACCGAGCATAAGATAATTGGTTACAGAATTATGTGACGCCCCATTTTATTCTGTTTCAGAGACCCTCTAAAATCATACTGAAAGCAACGTATCAAGAAAACGGTGTGATGAAAACACCCCTTTGCATAATGTTTCCAGTGACTGTAGTTTAAGTTCTTCTAATAGATTTTATATTTGTATTGTAATATTTATATTTACACCAGTCTATATGGTTAAATTAAGCGTCATGTTTGATTTCATTTGGATCAAATTATTTCATCTTATGAAATTATATACAATTTTACTCATTTAAATGATACTTGATGATACTTTCACCAATGTATACTTATACGGGCTAGGTACTTTCAAAACGGGACAGCTGATAATGAGTAATGGGAAGAAAGTTGCTGTTTAGGCCAGGAAGCGAGTACAAAAAATTAATGTCAAGCTTACAGTGGAGATGTTACTACAGGGTGTCCCAACGGACATGGAAAGTAATTTCATGGGCCAACTAAAAACTATCTGGAAACGATTTTCGATTACACTGGGGCTGCTTCATAGCTCCGTGGCACAACAAACAGGTTTTTTTCAATAAAACATCCTGTATTTTCTAAGATATTCCAAACGAGAAGATTGATATTACATACTGCGGGGCTCTGACATACATTATTGTTTGGCGATTTCACCATTTTATAGAAAAATGTCTATATGCATAAAACTCCGCAGTCTTGGACGGTTTTTATTGAATTTTGGACAATCTTACTTGTTTTAAGCCACATTGCAAAAAGTAGTACAACCTACTTATAAAGAGTAAGATGATGTGGTTTATCTAAAAAATCGAATTGAATATCCTGTATACTTTCACACCATCGGATTCAGAAATTCACAAGTGTTTTGTTGATATAAGGATTATACTAATTTATCTTAACGTTTGTCTAGTTATTGATAAAAATGCTGTATATTTTCCATCACATCGTTCATGGAAAAATAACTTGTTTCCTCAGTCTATGCTTAGACCGCTGTTGCTATTATAAAGTACTTTTTCAGTTTTTCTCTACCTAAAAGTAGTTGCTTCCACTCAGTGGTCGATGAATCTTTTAAATTATGTTAAGTTTAATCTTGTGTGATTTATGACGAATACGCAAGTGTATGTACGTTTTATAAAAAGGCGTTATTACTGAACGTTATCTTTCAATTAACGGCTCAGTCAAATATTTATTTTGACTAACATTGTGTTCCACTTCAGCAACTACTCACTTGATTTTCTAGGTATAATTTACCGTCATCTTAAAGAGGAATTTTGATGCAATAATAATAATAATAATAATAAAGACGGTTATTATAATTAATTATGTATGATGTGATAAAACTTTTGTCGATTTTTTAACCTTACCCAGGTAACCATTCAAATAAAATACTACATATAGTATAACTCACATATCACAACAAAGCTTATGAAAATACGAACCACAATGATGAAATATACAAGGCGCCTCGTTTAAATAATATGAGAACTTCATTTTGCGTTATTTAACATCTTGTATCATCAGTTCTTGTTGTACAAAAACAACAGGTTTGTATTAAGTATCTGGAAAAGAAGCTTTTTGTCGGTTTATTTACGTTTTTATTTTTAGGTGTTTTACATAATAGCCGTGCGGCGACTTAAGAATATGGACAAAAAAAATATTGATTTTGCTCTGAAAACAGTTCCCGAATATCTTTTTTTGTTGTTCCATAAAAATACTTTCCATTTTCGTTGGAACATCATGGTATATCAGCGTCCTATATTAACATGTACATATAAAGTTCTTCTTTTGCTTATCAGCGTAGGAATAGCCAGATTTAAAATCTTCCAACTTGTATATTCTTATATCCAAATGCAGTGTAAATAAGTATTTGCTACTTAGAAAAATATCCGCATCATTTAGAAAAAATGTTTCATGTAAGGTACTATACAGGGTGCTTCCTAATTGAATGTCAGTACTTGAGGAAGTGATTTTTCAGTCCATTTTAACAAGGAAACCTCATATAAACGTACGTCTTAAATGTCTTATTTTTAAAGTTCTCAAAAATCCGTTATTATTAGGATCTGTAAATACCACTTTACATATTTTAATGAAATTTGGCATACATGTACTATGTAACAATAGTACCAACCAATGTACCACGCTTTCTCCGCCAGTGGTGTTCGTACAGAATTTCACCTATTTTATATATAAAATAAAAATTGCATCGAGCCGAAAAAAATCAATAGATCAAATCTGCTCTTAAATCAATACAGATGTTATTTTTTTTTTCAGATAAATCAGTAGCATGGCAATTTTGAAAACCTTACCACTTTATATCTTTCAAGTAAGTTAAAACGTTTAAGACATACGTTCAAACTTAATAATAATAATAAATGGTCATTATAAATAACTTGAGGATAAAAAAAAATTTAAAGATAAAATGATGAAAGGCGTAGTTCAGCCTAAGCTGCTTTTCAACTAAACCCACAAAAGAATAACACTCATACAAAATATATACATATATATATATATAAAAAAAAAGATAATATGCAATACAAAACAGAACATAGGAGAGCATGGCCAATGCAGTTTTATGACCAATGCAGTTTTTATGAGAGCACAATTCATGCAAAAAAGAACAAGGCGACTTAAAAAGAAACATACTGGGACATTATCCTTTAAAACGTAGCGAGGTTTGCTTATACTTTAGGCCCTTGGTCGTGCAGGAGATCAGCTTTCAATCTTTTTTTAAAATTGCGGAGGCTCAGATTCTTGAGATCTACTGCCAAGCTGTTATACAGTTTCGCAGCATTGTATGAAAAGCTGCGCTTAAACAGAGCTGTTGAATGTTTAGGAATAACCAAAAGATGTTTATTGCGAGTTACTTTATTATCAGGCAGTCTGGTAAGTTTATTGTATAGATAAGTAGGTGTTCCACTAGTAACAATCTTGTGTACTGATGTGAGAAAATGTAGTTTTCTTATGTTAATCATGGTAAGCCGACCAGAATCCATAAGGCTCTCACTGATGTATTCATACTTGCGGATACCATATGCAAACCTGATGCAAGAATTTTGAATTCGCTGAATGCGTAGAATATCTGTTTGCAAAAGGGCAGGTCCATATATGCAGTCACAGTAAGCCAGTTTAGACAAAATCAAAGCTTCGCATAGTTTGACCTTCATGAATTTTGATAATATACTCCTGCTGGGATAAAGTTGTCTTAACACGTTATAGGAGACTTGGCACAAGTGACTTACATGTTTTGTATATCTTAGATCAGAGTCCAGCCATATGCCAAGATTTTTGTTTTCACTGATTATTGGCAAAGATACATCATTTATAGTAACTGAAAACGTGCCTTGCAGATTAGGTCTTTTATTTTTATTGGCAAAAATCATGACTTGTAATTTCTTCAGATTTAGCTGTAAATTATGTGCTATAGATATGTTATATAGAGATTTTAAATCTTTATTCAGTTCAATCTGTGCAGTAACAGCTTTGGATGCGGAGAACGATATATACGTATATAATGATGTAACTGAGAAAAATTAACAAAATCACTTGTGTATAAGCTGAAAAGGAGTGGACCCAAGACCGAACCTTGTGGAACACCGAAAACCTTATTCAACGAGGAAGAGTAATTATCATCTATAACTGTACTCTGAGTGCGATTTTTTAAGTAGCTCTCAAGAAGTAGAACCGGGTTATAAGAAAAACCGAAGTATATCAATTTTGTGAGAAGCGTGTCGTGGTCTAAGGTGTCGAAAGCTTTGCTGAAGTCGAGTAGCACAAGACAAGTGCAATTACCTTGATCAGTTGCTCTAATAAGATCATCCGTAATCTTCATTAAAGCCGTGGAGGTGCTATGATGAGGACGAAAACCTGACTGGAAGCTAGTAATAATATTATTTTGAATAGCATAGGTAAGCATTTGGTCTTTCATGATGAGTTCTAGGAGTTTTGATAGGGTAGGCAGAATACTAATCGGTCTTAGGTCAGAGAGCTCATCAGGCGAGTTACATTTAGGTATTGGCCTCACCAAAGCATGCTTCCATGCAAGAGGAAATTTTCCAGATGTGATTGAGAAATTTAAAATAAACGTGATATACTCTATCAAATCAGAGGAAACTAATATTAACATACGTAACGAAATATTATCCGAGCCTACAGCATTCCTTTTAATTTTATTAAGAAATTTGAACACAGCGTGGGAACTAACTGTTGTGAATCTAAAAGAATCTTCATGAGCTTGCATTACGTGGGTATCGTATTTTCTAAGCATATCAATTTGAAGTTGACTTTTAGCCAGATTTGGGGCGCTATTAGAATATGCGTTCACAGTGTTGCTATTCTTTAACTTGGGTGGTAGTTCAGATAACTTTTTTTCGCGCAGAATCTCCAAAGATCTAAGTGAGTTCCATGTTGATTTTTGATTTCTTTTGGTGAGGGTATAACTCAAATATGCAGCTTTCTCTCTTCTGATCGCACCAGTAACATAATTCCTTAACTCCTTATAGTAGTTGTAAGCCGCTGTACTTTTAATACATTTATATTTTTTAAAAGCTTTATCTCTAAGTGACATCATTATTTTTAAATTATATGTACGCCAAGGAGCAGGCGGCTTACTAACCCTCACTTGACGATAAGGTGCGTGGCGATTAAAGAGAGTTTTAAGATTTACTTCAAGATGATCCACCATAGAGTCTACATCTGGTAGTGTGTAGATGAAGCTCCAATTAACAGAATGTAGATCGTTATAAAATAAGTCTGCGTCAAACTTTGAATAATCGCGGTATCTTAAAAACTTTTCATATCTACTCGCCTTAGGGAAATTAATTTTAAAAGTCAAAACACAATGGTCTGAAATACCGACATCAAGTGTATCGACAGAAGTGAAGTTATCCGGATCACCTACTATGAGCAAATCTATCAATGTACTCGTAGATTTGGTTATTCTAGTAGGAGATTCAATAAGCTGTGTCAAATTATATGCCTCAAGGAAATCATACCACAGCTTGGTTTTACGATCTAGATTTAAAATATTTATATTTAGATCACCAGTTATAGCGAACAAATCACTATCTGGTAGAAAAAGATCCACAGCTGACTCCAATTCGCGAAGCATGTCCACAACATTAGCAGAAGGGGGGCTATAGACAACACTAAATATGAATGTTTTCCGATTAAGTTTTAGTGAGATCCAGATCTGTTCCAAGGCAGGAGTTATATTAATATGGATAATTTTACTCTGGAAACATTTTTTTGTATATACTGCAACGCCCCCACCTCTACCAATTCGATCTGCACGAAAAAGGGTGTAACCATCAATGTCAATCAATTTAGGGTCAATTTGATCATGTAACCAAGTCTCACTCAAAGCTATAAAATCGATGTCATTATCATCAACATAGCTACGCAGCATCTCTATATTTGCATCCAGAGATCTAATATTGAGGTGAACCACATTCAACAACGATGGCATTTTCCAAATTACAAACAAAAAATAATAAGTAAACAATAACAGGAAGCAAAAATACCCTAAAAAGATAAGAGATAAAAAATAATGTATATTATGTACTATGATGAAAACACATACACAGCACCAGGAAAATAAAATCTAGAGTAAATATTTAGTCTAGTAAGCAAGAAATAGAAATTCTACAACTATAAAATTCCAACACATTAAAATATTATGATGAAAAATCGAGAATAAAAGAATATCAATTACGAAATACAATAACCTCGGTTTAATTACTTTAAAACATCCACCTATAAAAATATTGACAATAGTTGATTGCAGTGACATTAATGAAAAACTGTTCATTGATTTCTCGCTCTTTTTGAAGGCGGGATTAATACTTATTTTCCAGACGCTTCGACATTGTGGAGACTATCGCAGTAGCCGTAGTAGATGATTGTTTCGGTTCCACGGATTTCTCTAAAGTTGCTTTTTTGTCATGTGAAGGTGTCTCTTGCGTTTCTGCTGTATTTGCCTCTTCTTCTTGTTCCGAAATATCTTCTTCCAGTTCTAATTCCTCGGCACTATAAGCAACACCATTAACTAGAAGCTTATTTTTATGTATTTTTGCTGACTGTTTCTGCCCCCTGGCTATCTTCAAGTGTTTACGTAGAATTTTTTGCAACTGATGATCCTCAGGTATCAAATCCGCCGCAATGGCTATATTTGTGCCTTTAAGTTTATATGCGCTCTTTATTATTTTTTGTTTAACGATGTTCCTAACTAATTCTAACTTGACTGGCCTCGGTGTGTTACTGTATGCTATTCTAATTCGATAGATGTTATTATTGTCTGACTCAGTGATCGTAGCTGCAAGATTTGAATGCAAGAATGCTATTATGTCCTTTAACAAATCTTCGTTCTGTGTTTCCTCAAGTACGAATAATATTATGTTATTCTTCAGATCCTTTCTTCGAAGAACAACAACCTGTTGCTTCAAATCGGCGTTTTCTGTTTCCAGGTCCTTTATTCTAGAGTCTATGTCGTCTATCCTATTCCTTTGGCTAGAGATTCCTTTACCTCTTTAAGATCACTTCTTATTCTTGTAGGATGTTAAGGATCTGGTTAGTAATTTCACCCTGATCTTCCATACTATATTCTCCAAGAATCACAACAAAAGATCACTCGAACTAGGTATCGAATCAAAATAGTGCATTAAATTACAGAAGGAGCATTTACTGCCCAAGGTCTTGATGGTTTCATGCAGATATGCTTCTTAAAAAGCGTAGTGTAAGATCTTACTATTTAGTTCGATCTTGTGCCCTCGATTTCGAAAGATTAATGTAGACACAGGTTAAACACAACCGAACCGTATGAAGACTACGTTTTCTTCTTAAAACGCAGTCATGAATCACCCCATAAATATTGATATTCAATTAGGAAACAAGGATGGGAAATCCTAAGCTCATGAGTATCAACCAATCCTTCATCGTTTAATTAGTTTTTATAAAAAACAGACCAGTATTAAAAAATGTATTCATAAATAACTTAACTTATAAGGCAATAATATCTAATTTGTTATTCGAGCAGGTACTTCGAAACAAATTACATAGTTTCCTTTCTGATCCTTCAGTCCCCAAGAGACGACTGTCTTGACCTGAAACAAAAAAATGGGCGAATCAGAACATTTTCAAAAATTAAACTCTCATCTCAACTGCCTGATCGTCTTAGGAAATAGTAAAAAATAAGTGTCCCAAAGGTGTATAGGTTTTTTTACAAAGATTTTGCTTAATAAGTATGGAAAGTTGTACAACTCCTTTGTTCTTACATATTGCGAAGAGATCTTCTAAATATCTTGACTAATTTAACATTTCGGATATTGATATGTTTACCGAACAAAAAATGAATCTTCGGTGGATATACATGGTTTGTTTGGTAGTGTTTTGAATGAAACCATCTCACTTTCTCAATATTATACAACTTATCTAATCTATATCAATGAGTTTATACTTTGAACTGATGTTTTAATTTTAACTTAATATCATACAATGCTCATCCTGCTTGTCTGGCCAATAGAAACCACATGTGTTAAAAGATGTTCATTACTGCAGTAAGCATGAAGGATTATCGATATGTGAACCACAGGATAAGTTTCAGATGTTACATTATCATAATCAGTATCAGTTCATTTTCAACTGTGTTAGTTACTTATTTAGCTGACGAAAAAACGCAACTAAACAACCCGGTCTTTTCTTAAGTAATCCATTCATTATTTTGATCTTAGAGATGGTATTCTTTAACTTTGGATAATCAGTTGTTTCATTTCCTAGCCACGTAGTTCAACTCCACTTAGCAACAACCGACTGTCACCCTTTTACATGAATATCTTCAGTCTGACACTCTTGGGGATAAAGTATCGTGAACAGTGTTAAAAGTGATACGCTTATGAAGATTCTTCTGATCAGTTTTCAAATATCAAATATATGACTAAGTGTACATTCAATCGAGTAGCTTGAAATTAGTGTGCGCCTATCTTAAGAAGTCTTTTCAGCGTAAATAGTTACCTTACATCTTTTTCTCAAATCGCAACCACCTGTAGATTAATATTCCGTCTTATTAAGGGTTTCCGTTAATCATTTTTAACCGCACCAATTCTTAATCACATGAACTTTAAGTTATTGACGGAATGTCCACTCGAATCCCGATTTATCTTTGTGATAATACTGACTGCCATCGTAATTAGCGAATTTCATCGCGTCTGTCTTAGTTGATTAATTGAAGTATTTGACCAGTTAGCTAATAACGTATCACTAATTGATGAAACAACGGCCACCCTGTTACAGGGTATTAGGTTAACTTAATTTGGTCTGAGAAGTGGAATCGTTTGACACTCGAGCATGTCAAAGCAGAAAGTCAATTTAAAACCAACTTTTTAATGTGACTTACAGAGAATTTTGTAACTACGTTAAAAAACAAAGCAATCCTAAAAGCAGCAAAATCTAACGAAAAACTTATATGTACATAAAAAATCAGTTGCGGAATACAATAAATTGAACTTTAATTTGAAAAAACTTATTTTCTGTTTGTTTTTATTTGTCCAAATCTACAACCCTAGATCCCGATTTGTTTTACCTTCTGCCGCGACATTCAAACAAATCGGACCTGGTAACACCAACAGGACCCACGTTAAGGCAAAAACGTGTAAAAATAGCTGGGAGTGAAGTTCAATATCGCACAACCGATAACAACACACCATTAATTAATGTATTCTCCTGCAGTGTTTAGTTGATTATTTTATTTTTCTTTATCATTATGTTGTTATTTGCCAATTTACAAGGTATACCTTGAAAAACTTGGGTGACAAGTTCATCCACTACGGCTACCTGTTTTACTAGTTATTTTAATTTAAATGACATACTAAATTATTCATTGCAAACAATGATATTCAGGGTTTTCCAAGCTCCTACAAAAAAATTGTTCTGCAGGGTCCCCTACAGGAATTTGACTCCCACAATGACACTGAACGTCGGTTTTTAATCAATAACTGAATGACACCACGTCATTCAAATAATTTTAGCAGCATAGTGTCCATTAGGGCTCCACATGGACAACAGTGCATTATATCACCAGGGACAGACTAGCTGTAGTGCAAATTTGATAATTTTTAACACAATGAATAATAACGGCTCAAAACGATATTACAACCTTAATTTAACTTGACCTTATTATTTGTAGGACAAATCTTGAAACTGAATTTTGAACCACCATTTAAGCTGAAATTTTCTATAAGAATACACAACGAATTAAATACCGCCATTTTGGAATCTGCTACAAAATGGCGATTTATCATTTCCATAGGAACCCATAATGTTATTAGAATCAAATGAAATGGCCTGGTGAGACAAACACAATAATCAAAGTGAGGTAATTCTAAATCCAATATGGCAGCCGCAGTGAAATGACGGGTTATCATTAACACAGTAACCCTATAATATGAGTACCGAATGAAAAGGTTTTGTGAGCGACACGCAGTAACATCATACAAAATATTACTATGACATGAAGCTGATCATATCATAGATCTGGGTGGTGGTCATGAGAGCCTTGTATCCACGAAGCCCATCGAATTGGGACTCGTTTGATTCTCCTTGAAAAATACTCTGGACCTCAAATTTGAGCTTTTTAGACAGGTCGCTTAAATATAGGTATGATATATATACAGGGTGTTTCACAACTTATCCGACAAATTTTAACCACATATGCACTGTTACGAAAGACATTTGAAAAAAATGTATTAAAAGTCCTACAGAAATCGAGATAATTAAAAAAATTCGTCTTCGGCATTCTAAATGCGTCGTGTAAAACAATTGAACTAAATGTTTCTTGATGTGGTATGTGCCTATTAGGAAATCGGTGTGCATACAAGCGAGAAGCCGCTCGCGAATTTAGCCCTGCTTCTCCGTACGCTAAAATAATGTCCATTAACTCATTAGTGTACACATGTACCATTTGTATTAATAAATAACTAAAAACATAAACTCTCAAAATACTTTCTTATTTAACTTCACAAAAAACGATCGTTCTTCATTCAGATCACCCACGATACAGTTTAAACCTTATTTACGTTCTTATCAGTATATTAAACAAAAAACTCCTGGTATTTTGTTTTCGTCAGTTGTTTGGTACATTTGCTACAATAAATTATTAATGCGTGTTTTAATATCACGACTATGAACGCAAAATACAGATATTTATCTTTCAACTTATTATTGAAACTCAGTTTTATAACTTAATTTCTGTACCACTTTTATTACATTTTTTTTGAGAAATCAACTTCTCTCGTAACGTGAGCAGTAGTCATTGCCATTGCCAACGACCAGTTGGGCAAAAAATACAATTAATTGTTAATTGGGAAATTGGCAAACTTTTAGGCCTAAGTTAACTTTTTTGACGATAAAATCTAGCTTTCGGCAATCTCTATGGAGCCTTCATCAGGATTCGCCGTTGAGGTTGCAGCGAAATGATGTTTCAAAACGAACGTGGAGATGAGAGCACTTGTTACAATTATAAAACCAATCGGACGGAAACATTGGGTTTATTAATAACGACAGATACCATCGTTATGTGTTGTGGTGACAATTACAGGCATTCCGATTGTAACTGTCCCCAAAATTTCTTCTCGTTAATTAATTTTCAATATGTTCGGGTGTATTGATAGTTTAACACATAACGATGGTATCTGTCATTATCAATAAACCCAATGTTTCCGTCTGATTGGTTTTATAATTGTAACAAGTGCTCTCATCTCCACGTTCGTTTTGAAACACCATTTCGCTGCAACCTCAACGACGAATCCTGATGAAGGCTCCATAGAGATTGCCGAAAGCTAGATTAGATTTTATCGTCAAAAGAGTTAACTAAAGCCTAAAAGTTTGCCAATTTCCCAATATATATATATATATATATATATATATATATATATATATATATATATATATATTTTATATAACAAAAATAGAAAAATAATGGGCAAAATCCGCAAAAAGTGGATTCGAGCAGAATAGAATATATATATATTTCTTCGATCACTTGATCAAGGACACTTATACATATAAGTGCGTCTACCGAATTTAAATACATGGTTCTGAACTTTATAATATGAACAAAAAAGTCCTTAAATTTGACATCATATATACGACAAAGTAAAAATTAAATGAAAGCTGCATGTGATTTTCTACTTCTTAACCTTTGTCTCAAGTTTTCAAATAAAATCGTGTTACACTTTTTATTCTTCTTGCTGTTAAAACACAACAGGCATTTATTTGAAAGCTTGAGATGAATAATCGTAAGAAAGTATTTTTTTAACTTTTAGTCCGGTTTAGCCACAACAAAATCAATACGTGTTTTTTAAAATATATGTTTCTTATATTTATTCTTATAATGCCTTAACTTGAAAAAATTTAATCATTAATGTAACACCTGAAAGTTATCCTATGACTTTCAAGCTGAAGTAGCACTCCATGTTTGCCTGGCCGACTTTATTTTGGTTATCACTGCGGCCTTTCTCAAGTAGGTGCTAAAAAATGTAGCCATGTTTATTTTTTTTCATATTCCAATCTCACTTTAATTTTGTGTTCAGCATTGCCTATTGCTTTGACTGTTACACGTCACCAAAGATGATGTTCTTCTAACTCCATAGTAATTAATTCTGATCAATCGACCGACTACATTTAATGAATTATTCAAAAAACAATCTATTTTTGCGTCCCCGTTCATTGTTCTGAAGATAATTGGAAGAAGCGTTAATTTGTATTCTAAAAGCACAATTATGTAATCATATAAATATCATTAACACAATGATGTCAAAGACTGAAAAAATCTTGGCATTGTCATTTACCAGGAAAATCTGAGTAGACCATTTAATGACTTACTAATGATATGCATAACTGGCTGATTTAACATTCACTTTCATGTTACAAATTGAAGTGAAGTGAAAAGTGCGTCAGTAAATACGAGGTCTGAAAATTAAGTTATGATACTGGCAACGTAGCGTTCGATCTGGCAATACTGGAGGCGACGGGCTTAGAAGGGACAGGGGAACATGCGATCCGCCTTCAGTACAAGTTTTAACTCGCTCGAGTTATTTGGTTGTCCGTAGCTATTTTTTGTGAAATTGTTTTTCCTATTGTGTTCTTAAAATGAATGACACCAATTTCGAGGAACGGTGTGCTATCAAGTTTTGCTTCAGACTTGGGCACAGTGCAACGGAAACTCTTGCTAAGCAGGCCTGCGGAGTTAGTGTTTGTCAACCGCCCAGCTTCTTTCGGTGGTTTAAGACATTTTCAGAAGATTGAAGATAAAACCACGAAACGAAAGGCCTTCGTCTTCAAGAACGGATGAAAACATCGACAGAATCCGAATCTTGTGCGTTTAGATCATCGGTTGACAGTCAGAATGATTGGGGAAGAGTTAAATTTGACTCACACCACCGTTCATCAGATCAGGAACCACTGTGTGCTGCATGACGATAATGCTTCTTGTCACTTAGCAATGTCAATAAACGAGTTTTTGGCCGGTAAAAACATTCCGGTGTCTCCTCAGCCTCCTTGTGACTTTTTTCTCTACCCGAAGTTGAAAAATCACCTAAAGGGAACTGTGGCTTCAAAAGTAAAATATTTTCAGGGTGACAATATAAAATTGTAATTATATTTGAAAACAAAAATTAAAAAAAAAATAGTCTCGGCAATTAATTTACACTTAATTACACTGTTGCACAAAATTAAAATAGTTTTTTGTGACATGGACAAAACAAGGTGGTTATTATGTAAAACGTACCCAAGAAGCCGGAATATCATTCGATTTTTTCTATCACCCACGGTGTTTTTGCAATAAGTCATTTTATTTGCTGCTTATACTCGTAAAATATAAGAATATGTGTGTAAGAGTACTTACTAATAAACACTAGAATAAACATTAATCTCAGAATGTTGTGGTCGATGTTTTACGGCGATATGTTGCTCCACACTTATCGCACCTAAATTTTCCGGAAAAAAATCAGAATCCAAAAAGTGAATTTTTAGAGACATGTTAAGTCCCATTCCTTTATAAGCATTAATTAGTTCACTCACAATATCTTTATAATTGTCCGCCCTCTCATTGCCTAAAAAATTTGCAGTAACTAACTTAAAAGCATTCCAAGCTCGTAATTCAGTTTCATTTAGAGTACTGTCAAATACATCATCATTTTTGAGGACCCACAAATATGCCCTCTTTAATTTTTGCCTCAATAAGTCTCGGAAATGTCTATTTTACATGCAAAAACCCTCTTCCATTTCGATCCACGGTTTTCACATAATTTTTCATCAGTCCCAACTTAATATGCAAAGGAGGAAGCAACACGTTTTTGGGATCAACTAGTGGTTCATGAGCAATGTTTTTGAGGCCCGGAGTTAATACCTGACGTAGTGGCCACTCCATCTGCTCGTAACGACGATCTCGCGCACGACTGTCTCATTCACAAAAAAAAAACAATATTTGGTATATCCCAGTTGCATTCCAAGAAGAAGGGTTATTACAGAACTCGCATATTTTATTATATGAACTGCGTGCGCTATAGGTACAGATTGATATTTATTACCAATACCGCTTCTAAACTAAGCTTAGAGAAATCAATGAGCAGGCGCCAATCATTTGGATCATGTTTCTGTCCTAACGCATCAAACAAAATGTTGACATCGGAGCAATATATCAACTCCCTTTCTTGACGGAAACAGTGTGTGAGGTCTTGTTACCGTTTTCGGTAAAAAGTGATGTCAACATCATCGTGGAGAAGATTTCATCCTGTTAATCTTGACGCTTAAAGTTCTGACTGGGATTTTGACAGATTTAATTCTCGAACTAAGTTATTAAGTTCACCCTGTGTGATCAAATGCGGCGCTGTTGAACATCCTGGCAGGTCAAACGAAGAATCGGAAATTTTTACGCTTTCTGTACCATCACTTTCAGAATCGGTCGATTCGATTTATACACAGACCAAGATTCTGGGGGAACGGGCCGCAAAGCTGATAGTAAATTAAAATACTTAACAGTATGTTTCGATTTTGGTCCAATACTTTTAATATTTGTGAAGCAAAAATAGCAATCAGTAGTATGGTCTCTCGGTTCTCTCCAAACCATTGGTACCGCAACTGTCGCCTCTTAACCAACCTGTTAACAACGTTACACAAGCCTTACAACATAACATATATGAAGGGCCTATAGTTTAACTTGTTCGCCAACTTTAAGTCCAAAATAAAGTTCGTATGCTTTCAGCATAAGAAAAAACGTTTTTGGGATTTAAAAGCTAGCACTCCGCACACATAACAAAAACTGTTCGCACTATTTAAACAATTTCTAGGCATTGTCCATAAAGCTAGTCTCGACCACAATAAACTAAAAACAACACGCCGTTTTAACAAAAATTAACAGTACTCAGAACATCGCAGTACTCTTCAACACAGAAAACGTAACTGACTCGGATGCTACTAATAAACGCAATATGCTCTCTTAACATAGATCTCGCATATAATAAACAGGAATAGACAGGTCTTAATGTATGTGCGTTATCGCATAAACGCCGACAAATGCGGCAATATGAGATGTTACGTATTATAATTCATAAAAGTAGATGTTACCGAATATCTGTGGGTGATAGACAAAAACCTGTTTTTAGATTTGATTTAAGAGTCGCAAAATACGTAAGAGACACCCAAAAATTGTCAAGACACAAATCCTGTGTTTATCAGTGTTATTTATATGTACCATATAGGAAATAATATAAAATTGATAAGGTTTCAAGGTCAGCGGTAAAACAGAAAAATATCGAGGGTAGTTGCGAAGCAGCTTGAAGAGCAGTATACTCATTGTACAAGTTTTAATAAATGAGTTAATGTTTTTTGGGTAAAGATGCTCTCAACAAATTTGTCTTATGTGGTTTTGTGTGCTCGCAATAGAAAAATATGCTTTTTTCATAGACGGCCCTACGTGACGCAAAGGCACTTGATCCGCTCCGGATCTTGCGACGGCCCTGATTTTTTCCTGCTTCCGATTTTGTTCTTGAATATACCGAATTCCAATGACACTATCTACCAATTTCGTCTTTTTCGGTTCGGCAATATGGATACAAGTGGCCAGTTGCTAATTCAACAGCAGAAAACGGAGAAGGGACCCATAATGTGGCCGTCACGAATGCTTGCGGTTGGAAGCGATAGTGTTATCGTCTGATACTGGAAAAGATTAGGGATATCCACAGTTCAGATAGCAACATCTAGATGATAATACTGAAGAATTATAAATGCAATAAAACATTTCCCAAGTTCTAGACATTTCATAATAACGGTAAAAAACTTCTGTTCAAAATTCAGAAGTAATTGTTGGTACTGATAATACAGGACGAGAGTTTGAACTATGTCCTTTACTGTAAAGAAACTATAGCTTCGATACCAATTTCTCAAAAAGACTACCTTCATAAAAACAAGACTATAATAGTTTTTGAGACATATACTCACCCTAGGATATATTTTAAGCACTTCTATACTGTTCTTATAAACGTACTCCTCCCCAGCTTTAAGATCACATCCAGCTTTGGTTGTTCCGTCTTTCAGGTAAACATCGTCACATGCATTCTCGCCATCCACTCCTATAAAGGGGAATGGTACTCCTAGGATGTTTGCGCTCACTGCAGTTTGAAGACTTTTCACATTTTCCGCTAAAAACGAAAAATACGGCTTATTTCTTAAATAAAACTAGCATCCATGTTTAAGCCAAGTTATATGCCGCTTCAAAAATACCATTTCTGTTCCTTCATTACAGAAACTTTGTTCTAATCCGATAAGGCCAATCCGCCCCTGTCAAACTGTATGGATGAAATATTTGTTGGACTTATGTACACCCAGAAAAGACCGGCAAGACTGTTCCTTTCTTCGTAAGGTGTCAAAAGTGTAAACCAGTTCACAAGTAAAGGTACGCCCTAATTCCGCTAACCTCAGCTTGCTTAAAATTCATTATTATTATTATAAAAGCTACTACACACAGTGCCGGGGGCAATGCCGCCGGGTTTATGCCGAGCGGCAATGCCGTCGGCAATACAAGCCGCCGGCGCCGGCACAAGCCGCGCAAAGCCGCCAAGCATCATTCCGGTTGTGACAGTCACATAGAACGCTAGTGAAGTGCATATTTTATGGTTGGTTGGTTAAAATGAATAAGGAAATCATCAGCACAGCCGCGGCAGTTGTAATTTTTATTTTAATAAGAAAAAAATACAAAAGGATGAGAAGGTTTTGGTTGCACCCAAGTTTACAAAATAGAAAATGGCGGAACGGTACTGTAATGATAGAAGAGTATAAAAAAGATGATGTGGGGTGTCAGCGTTTGCGCAATAGCATGTTTTTTTGGTTTCTATACATCGTCTATGCCTGCACCAGATTTGTGCAACTGTTCTAACTTCTTTTTTTCCCGAAAATAATGAGAGGTTACATTTTTTAACTTTCTCTCTACATCGCCTTTATCAATGTCAAATACACTTGCAATTATGTTCAATGCGTCCATTCTTATAGTCTGCATTTCTGGGATTCCATAATATATCATTTTCATGAAATTTTTCAATAAGAGCAGCACAGCTTCGTCGTCCCAATTAAACGACATTTTAATTTGTTTAAACACACAAACCGCACAATACTACCGCTCGAATGCCAGGAACGAAGTGACGCCGGCAAGCCGCGTAACCCGCCGGCACACCCCGGCGACTCCTTTGCGCGGCAAGGCCGGCGGCTTTGTATGCCGCCGGGTGTACGGAGGCTTAGCCGGCGGCACTGTGTGTAGCAGCCTTTACAGAGGAGCAATGAGCAGAATACAATACTACAAGCTCATGTACAAAATGCAGTCGACGGATAAGTAGAGTAAAATACATAAAACAAAAAGTTCATAGCTATAAAGTTTGTTCACTCTTCCACCACATCATGATACACTTTGAAGCTGTTGGCTGACGTAGCATTAACCACACTTTCTGGTAAACTGTGCATTCTAAACAGCTCCTTTTGCAGTTTAAAGCTGTGAACGGAGAGATTGCTGGTATGGGTGCTTCAGGTTGGTTCCAATCAGTCAATGAAGTATTCTAGAGGTACCTATGAAATCGCCTCGAATTCTTCGGTCGGAGACTGTGGTCAATTTATACTCCAACTACCACGAAGGCCTAAGGCCTAAGCACCCATTGGGTGCCGTGGGGCTATAGGGGAATACATGGGAAAGGGGGAACGCCACACGGACTCAAGTGGAATATCTCGAGACGATCTTCATAGCTGTATCTGTGAGCTTCAAATGAGATTCGAGTTGCCAGAGACTTCTGTCGAGCGCAAGCACAGTTTCCCTTACAGGTCCAGCAGATTCATACCATAGTAAAGCTGCTTTGGCAATTAGGTGTTTGCCTTCATTGCTGTTATAATACAAAATGTTGTCAAGACTCTCCTGCAACGCTGTCATCAGTTCATAAAAGCCTATGTTCGGCATAAATTAGCCACTCTCGGAAAACATTAACATGCAAACATGTATAAGAACAGAATTGAATAGATCAAGTCGGTCAAAAACTTCAATGCAATCAGTCTGCCGTCCCCACCTGTTTGAAAACGTCGCGAACTAAAAATTTCTCATTTGCTCTACATACTGGTCATCCGACAATACCGGCAGCTGCTTAGTGCTTTTTCGCAACTCCTCATCAGCACGGTCTAGGCTTGGTTTCTGGGACAACGAAAGAAAACATAGCAACTATCCTCTATCTGATGTATAAGATCTAGCGAAATGAGAGAGCAGTATGTTTGGTTATTCAAAAAGGTTTTTGAAATTTTTCGTGATTAGAATACTTCCACACCAATTGGCGTCGCTGAATTCAAAACTGCAATATTGCAACAGTTTTATCATATAAAGAATGAGGCCGTTTGACTATGGTTTTGTATTAGGGATAGTCCGTCTCTTTTAACATGAACAAGCCAAATGCGATTAATGAACACTTCCTTCCTGTTCGACTGACGAGTCTTGACATGGCCGCCAACAGGAATATTTATTTAGGAGTTTGTATATTAGGAAACATTCCAAATATTCAAAATTTCAGATTTTGTACGCAAGAGTATTCACATTTTAGAGAGCAGTAGGGGGCATACATTTTGACAGCACGAAATAGAGTACCTACGATAACTTTCCAACGAAAGTGAATGAAAATTCATGATGTCATACCGTTAATATATTCCAGTAAGTTGTTTGGAATCCTGATTATTTTTAAATGTGATCTGATTTCATCATGACGCCACACTTCTTAAAAAAATTAAGAGTCTGATTAGATGAATAGAACTAACTTGACGGCTAAATGTGAAAATACTTGATAAACTCCGCATAAAAAAGCAGACATATCGTTTCATGGAAACTGCAACAGGTATGTGATATTACATTAATTAACCAACTGCTAAACAATGAATCTACCATTGATACACCAACTTTTTAAAAACGGAAAACCCCGCTGAGCCATCACTGAATTATTTAGCAATTTGGGACAAGATGTCCATTCATAAAAAACCTCTGCGAATAACGTACAAACTGCGATGAATTGAGCTGAGCTAAACCCGATTTTCGAGAAATATTAGAAATGGCAGCACCAAACATAGTAGATTCGAGAGACAAATCCTGTCTTTTACTGTTCAGCTTTACTTCAGCCGTAGTGAAGCAACAGTTTTTCTAACATAACAAGTGCTACCGACTACGATAAAGTAATAAATATTAATATTTACGTTAAGGGCTAGAAAGATACAAGGGTGAGAGGCACGAGCTCTGGAAAAGTGTGGAACATATTCTGAACCCACTAAATACATTCTACAGGGTGTTTCACAACTTATCCGATAAATTTTAACCACTGTTAGGAAGGAAGTTGATTTCTCAAAAAAAAATGTAATAGAAGTCCTACATAAATCGAGATAATAAAATAATACAGTTTAACAGTTCACTTACTTATAAAAGCTGTTCAAAATTGTTTCCATTGACTGCAATGTCACGCAATTCTTCAATATTCTGAACTAGAGTACCTTGTTTTTCAAGTACATATCCCCATATAAAGAAGTCCGGAGGATTTAGATCGGGAGACCGTGGAAGCCATGCAATTAGTCCACCACTTCCGATCCAGAGTATCTGGTATACCTGATTAAAAAAATCACGAACTTCTAAACGAAAATACGGAGGTGCCCCATCGTGCAGAAACCACATCCGTGCTCGGAACGCCAATGGTACATCTTCAAGAAGGAGGCAAATCATTACGAAGAAATTCCAAATACTGGTGACCATCCATCCGATGTGGCAAAATGAACGGTCCAATTAGATGTTCATCGACAACACCTGCCCACACGTTTAAAGAAAAACGATGTTTGAAGTGTGACTGGACCACTGCGTGATGGTTCTCAAAGGACCAAACGTGTGTATTATGAAGATTGGTTATGCCATTACGAGTGAAAATAGCTTCATCGGTGGTCAAAATATCAGCTGTAAAAGGGGCATTTCGAGCGTTTTCTTACAACAACCACTCACAAAATCTTACTCTTAGGGGGTAGTCTGTAGGTAGCAACGACTGGACTCTTTAGGACGTGATAAGGGTACAATTGGGCCTCATGTAATGTGCGCCACTCTGTTGCATGTGACACTTCAGGGACCTGTTGGGTTAACTGCCTTGTGCTTAGGTATTCCCGGATTTTCTTCTACAATATAAAAAATTTCGTCTTCGCAATTTAAAACGTGTTGTGGGCGAACCCGATCGTCCATCCACTCCACGTCTGGGGCGCATATCTCCACTAGCACGTGCACGTAAAACAATTGAACTAAATGTTTCGTCGTATGGTATGTCACATTCAGAAATCGGTGTGCATACAAACGAGAAGCCGCTTCCAAATTTTGCCCTGCTTCTCCGTACGCTAAAACAATGTCCACTAACTCCTCATTAGTGCACACATGTGCCATTTTTATTAATAAATAGCTAAAAACATGAACTCGCAAAATACTTTCTTTTTTAACTTCACAAAAATCGACCGTTCTTCATTCAGATCACTCACGATACAGATTAAACCTTATTTACACATTCTTATCAGTATGAAAAAACCAAAAATTCCTGGTATTTCATTTTCGTCAGTTGTTTGGTACAACATTATTAATGCGTGTTCTAATATCACGACGATGAACGCAAAATACAGATGTTTATTTTTACATTTATTATTGAAACTCAGATTTATAACTTAGTTTCTGTAGGACCTTTGTTAAAGTTTTTTTGTTGAGAAATCACCTTCTTTCGTATCAGTGCAGATATTGTTAAAATTTGTCGGATAAGTTGTGAAACACCCTGTATATCAAGTCCGCGTATTACTAATATTTCCAATAATTTATTTAATCGCGTATTTTCCATTCTGTAACATCCGAGACCTTATATTCATCTTAGCAAGCTTAGCAAGATCTAAAAACAATTAAGCAGTTAGCGTCTTCTTAGCGAAATTAAAAATACTATATATCTACCTTTTACTAAACTATCGAGCGTTGTGCAATAAATTTTGAAAGCACTGTACAGTTTGTTTAATCTTCGGATCCAAGTAAATGGTTTCTATGTCAACTTAAGCGTATTTTGATATTGATTTCAACACAATAGGTATGTGTGTAATCGTGTATAGTATAAAAGGCAATATTGTAAATATA